AAGAATATAATACAGAGTCAACCACTCTTTAAAATACAAATATATATGAAATTATTATATGTTATAGGTATACCTCTATATAATGTGTGTATACTACATACAACACAACATATTATAGATATAGTTAGTCAAGTGAATAATGTGTATATGTATTATACAAGTGTCAAAAACATATAATAGATAATAATGCATATTGAGCTCAATGCCAAAAATTATTTTTAAACAATAACGACGCCAAAATTATGAACACTTTAACGTGTAAGAATACCTGCAGATAATTGAAAACCGGACTAGATTGATAAAAAAAAGAGAAAAATTACACTGTCCATGAATTTATTATTCACAGTAGTAAACAATGAGTGGTATTATGTATTATATATATACATAGTATGGAATGTCCAAAGGGTTATGTAACATGTATAGCTGACTCACTGACGATGTCGTCTTATGTCGTCATATAAAAATCTTTATTTTTGGGATATTTAAATATGCGCTAATTACCTATAACTAGGTATATATTATAGTTTCAACTTATTCTAACGAATAAAAATACAAATATTTACTTTTTAGCACGCGCCCCTACGGGCTTTAATTAATATATGTTTAATATATGTGATACGAATAAGAAAGAAAACAAAGTTGTTTTTTTTTTGGGAGGGGGTGGATTTACTTATTATAAACTATCAAGGCAATAATTATAATATATATAACGGTGGCTGCATTTAACCTCATCAGGTCGTTGTATTGTCTCAATGTCTAATTATTCAGTTACGATAGTTACAACACATGATTATTACGTCGACAAATGTGCGTATATGTATACCTACGCAGTACTAATAACTAAATATAAACCATCAAGTCAATTTTCTCGTCTGATCAATTGCGCATGAAGCGTATAATATACCTAACACGCCAATATATAGACCCTTCGAGCCTTGGGAGTCATTTGGTATAACGCGTCTGCACGGCCTTAGACGTTCGGCGGCAGTGTATACGCATTTTAGTTTCTGTATATAGATATAGTATATATACCTTCCCGGTGAAGCTTAAGGTCTCTCTCGAATATTCTCTGTAGCGTATACCTATACACATTGGAATTCTTCACTATTCCGCGACGAAATTTATAAATACATAAGATAATTGTCCTTTTGCTCAAATATGCGTGAGGTGTCCTTCGACACTTGTACAGCAGCATGGACAAATTATCCCGTTACGAACGTGTGCAACATACGCATGTGTGTACGTACATTATAGCTGCACAGCTGGAGTAGTGAATCTGTGGACTGCAAGACCTGCCGGGTGGTCGCCGTACATGTATAGGCTATATACTTATATTAAAATATATATATATAAGCAGRCAGATCCATATATTATACTATATATTTTATAAGTTATACTACGCAATATAATAGTAATAATAATAATATAATCCGTACCGTTACAAATTTTCGGGTAAAAGTAACGATACGAAAATTAGGTTGTCGGGAGTAAGGCTGGCGGGGGATGACSCGCGATGTCGTAAAGCAGTGATATATAATAATATCTCACCACCGACTGTATGGTAAATATTATTATGTAACTACCATTCTACTACCTGCTACTATACTGAGAAATTTGGGTCGAATCGCTACCGTTCGCGATGGGGGACTTATCGAGCAGAGCCCGCACAACGCTGCAGACAGAGATGCGCACCGATGAACATATAGGTATTGTAATGTACAAAATTTTCTTTTTTTTAAACCGTCGCACCCGAAAGAGTAACAAAAATAAAAATAAATATGTATATAATATGTGCATGTGAATTGGTACGCCGAAACGCAGTACCGTAAAACTATTGGCTGGTGCAGCGTGTGATGGTGAACTGGCGGTAGTTATGGTGCATAATATATACATACATATATATATGCTCGCTTCAAGGGTATATGTATCACACTCGTAAATGTAATGTACGGCGTTGATAAATTTCGCACCGCAATATGTGCGACACCAGTCCTCAATGTATAATAATAATAATAATGATATTGCACGTGTCCAACGAAAATCGCTTTGTCGTCCGACCGATTTATATGTATACTTATTGTTCTGGTCCATTTGATATTATTATTATTATTATTTTAACCGACTACGGGTTTTCGCCACAACCTACACACGTTCCGAGTGTATGTCCAAACGCAGTGGGCGGTTTGTGTATGTATGTATACTGCAATATAATAAAACATGTATTGTATTTACAATGCGTTCGCACCCGACCCCGGATCAGACCTTTTTATTGTATCAATTTTGTTGTTGACGGTCGTTGAAAACCGTTTTGTACAGCGGGTGCAAAGACGCGTATATTTACCCTTCAATATAATACTACATATGTCTGTGAATGTGACCCGACGCCGACAACAACTGTAAAATCGACAGCCAGCAATAAATGGCACGGCCAAATTATAAAATTTAAAATGTCTCCAAGGCATAAGACCCGTTTTTGTAAGATTCTCGTAATCGTCTTAATGCATTTTACTATTCCGATATCCTTTGTACACACCACGTTAGGTTATAATATTATATGTAGGTACACCATACACGGTGCACGTATAAACGTTTAAATATCTGATGATGTGTATAATATGGTCACACATTAGAGTACGGTACTCGATTGTTTAATATASGATTGTCGATTTTAGGGTTAGATTATTATGAATCTCGGGATAAAAATCCAATGTCGACCAACTCTAAAAAAAAATTCCCAGATTACAGATGAAAATGATTTATATAAATATTTATTACAAATAGGTATATTATATACTATATTTGTCATTCAACAAATTAATATACATAGTACCCTTTAATAAAATATTACGTTTTCTATAGTATTTTGATGATAATGTATAAGATATAAKAACTCCAAATGTTCAATATAAATACAAATAATATCCAATTTCAATAACTCAAAATATTTGTATATACTATTTTTTTTAACAGTTAAAAATCTATTGTGAGCATAAGAGCATAGATAATAGCATATCATTAATTATTATTACCCACCTATATTTTATATCATATTTACTCGATAATTTGAACAATTTATTTGAATATATATTATGAATTTATCTAAAATTATTTATATCTATTTGTAATTTAATATTAAAATAATATTCATATGGTTATGAGTAATAATGTAGTCTGGAWTTTTTTTCCCGGGGGTTTTATAACGTGTTAATTTAAACTGTACATTTGAGGGGGGTAAATAAAATTCCATCGACACTATAAAACAAAAAAATAAATCCACCAAAGTTACGTATAAAAATATACAATACGATATAACATGCAATACAAAATAAATAAATAAAATGTAAATTTACCAACCATGATAAAGTATAGTTGGGAAGATTTAGTATTCCGGTGCTTTATACACTTTATTGGAACAGAACGTATCGACCTTACAAAAACGTATTACAGTATCTATATCAGTATCATAACCTACATGACAATAATGGAAAAAATTGAACATTTAAAGCATTAAAAATTATAGTCTATGGACATCACACTGAACGCGTTGTATAATTTATTGTAATCATATTATGTAAGTTTCCGTTCTTATAATTTGTCAATTGTCTTTAATCATAATTAAAGGGCTCAAGCCCGTTAAAATTTGTTTGAATAAAATAAAATAAATAATTAATTTTAGAATTAAATTGAGGTAGAAAATGAGTGTTGTTAACTCCAATTTAGGTTTAACTTAAAATTGGTAAAAAAATATTATATTGTAGAGTGTGCATTTAACCAGTCAAAAGTCAGTGTCAATGGAATTTGAAACTACCTAGCTTAATGATTGTCTTGAATTCTTATTGAAGTGAAATTATATTAACAATAATATATTTCCTTTGATTCGGTCAATTACACGAAACTGGGTGACTCACCAAGCATACCCTTCACTCCTTATTTCAAGTTTGAAAATTAATTTATTCAAAATCTAATTGTTGGAATTTTAAAATTTATTTTAAATCATATTTTAAAATAATTGAACGAAAAGGTTTTTGATGAACAAATTAGTTATTAGATGAAAAAATGAAGGTAAGTAATGAGTGTGCTTGGTGAATCCCTACGCATACGACTTTCATACAGTATAATTTAACATATATAGATACTATTAAACTACTCTAATAATACGTACACAATTACTTTAAGTGATTATCATTTATAGGTGACAAATAATGTTAAGTCTATAATGTTTTTAGTTTACAGTCAATTGTTACAATATTATAAATAAATATAAATATTATTAAAATCATTTTTGTTAAATAATAACTTATTTAATAATTTCTATTTAAGCATTTTTTCATATCTATTAAGATATTCGTCTCGACACTTTCAACATAATTAAAAAAGTATCTTCATTAGTCGTTGATTATTATTTATTTGTTTTTTTCTTTTTTGGTGGTAAATCATACACACTTCTCACAGTGATAGTTTTACTCTATCACTAAAATATACAGCACACAGGTTGTGATAAATTACATTATAATAATTAATACTAACATACATTACTATAAAKACAGATATTTTTTCCATTTCCCTGATATGGTTTCCGGCAGGAATTTCGACCAGACATTTTGTCCGTGATTCTTATACACAWTAATTCATATATTACAATATCAATATATCATACATTTTTKTAAATATATAACCAACCTACTTATTACCCATACCTACCAACTTACTTATGAGTGATAATATTAATATATTATATGTATATGTGTAATGTAAACACGTTTGTATATAATTATAATATTATAGATTTATAAGTGGGTACATCAATAGGTCAAAATACTTTGAAACACTAACGCTTATTGCTTCCTTTTTATTTAATACATACTATCATTATTATTATAATAATTATATTTAAGTATTTGCATTTATTGAACAATTGGCATAACATATTTTTGTTTTTTGTTTTTTTTTTATGTTTTTGTTTTCATTCTTGCCGTCTATGTTGTTGTGGTGCACTTCAGGGTAAAAATCGAATTCCGTCACAATATTTGTCAATCCGCAGCGTCAGTGGACCAACAGAATCAGCGCCAAGTACGGTGCAATATTAGAGACAACTACACATTACGTCGCCGACGACTAAAACTGTCCTAGCCGATACGCAACAGTCGTGGTATTATGCGATTTTCGTACGAGTCGGTGTTTCATCGGTCGAGATGAAATCGTCCGACGACGACAAGCACAGCGTCGGTCCTCGCAAACCACAAATTCCAACTGATTCTTGGAAGTAAGTCTAGTCTATTGAGTCAATATTTATACATTCATTTACGGTTATATACTATGTAATTCACATATTTAATAAAATATATGCAACTTCCATGAGGTATTATGACCAAAATTAAATATCGTTCATAAATAAGTTGGAACTTATTGCAAATAATATTGTTAAAGATAGGTATTATATAATAGTTTTTAAATTTGATACTGAAATTARGTATATATCTAGATAGTTTTATATTTATGGATATTCTACCTTGCCCCCTATTTTTAATTTTACATTTATTTTTAAAGAGGATTTTTTGGCTCATGAAAAACGAATATTGTTTTGTTTGTATATAGGATTTCCATWGGTTACATAAAATAAAACAGTTATTATAATTGTAAATAATTTTAGTAAAGTATTTTATAACTGGTAAAATTTCCACCTAAACGTCYGAGTTAAGAATGCGTGTAGATTATATTTAACAGAGCTTAAAACAGCGTTAATCCATTGGTATTATTTTATTTACCACGGACAATACCAGGCAGGACGATCGGCTTATAGTTAATAATAAAAAAAATGTTTAAAACATTATAAAATATGTAAAAAGTAATTTTATTTAAGTTGAATATTTTATATTACCAGTCATATTTAGGATAATAAATCATAACCTAGGTTTTAATGTAAAAAACAGAACTTAACTTTAAAAAAATCCTATGGGTATCCCGTGACCACGATTCTTTCCAAAGATGATCGTATGACGAGATGCATTTACAATTGAATTTGGTATGTTACTAAAAATAAATTAAACAGAAAGTATAACATATTTGGTGTTTAAATTTAAAATAATATTGATGCGTATTCACCATATTTGCTCAGTGCATCTAGTTAAAGTAACTATAGATTCATAGAATAATCACTATGTAARATTAATTAGGTAGTTATTTTTTTTTATGCCTGAATAAATTTAATTTTCATGGTAGACCTACTTTCTGAAGTGCCTTCAATAAAAATGTACAATATTWATCTTTGACTTATACGAACCTTATAAATTCTAATTAACACTATTATCCTAAACATTAAATTTATACAATTATAAAACAAATGTTATTTAGGTTAGTAGATTATTCATATTGTTTAAAAGATAGATAGACCAAAAAAACTGGAATGTAGAATATAGAGTGTACCTAATAACTATGTAATATACACTATATAGTTATTATTAAAATCGAGTACGTATTATAAATAAAGAAACACTTCACTTTCAGGCACAAATACAAAATATATTAATAAATTGTCTAAAATAAACTAATCGATAAAAAGAAAAACTAATAAAATGTATGTCTAACAATTAACAGATTTGTATTTAAAAGTTATTCACGTCATTATTTTCAAGCGTTATATTCAGTAATATTACATAAAAAACAATTAACACAATGTTTTTCGTTATATTATTGTATGTTAGTATTTTAAAAATAATATATTTTATTTTATAAACGAAATAATATTATTATTTGGAATAATACTTTTTTTTTCAGTGCATAATATATAAATATTTAATAGGTGCCTAGGTTAATAGTTATAAGTTTCATGAACTCTTATTTTCATAAATTTAATCGAAAAATAATTGTAATTAAAAATATACGAGCTATTGAAATATTTGAATCAATTATTTTAAATCAAAAAATATTTGTTTTTATCATAGATAAGAAATATTAAATATATCTAGTTAAATATTGATAAAATCAATATGTGTTTAATAAATAGTATCGAGTATTAAATAATATTTTCACTTATTATATTATTTAGATACCTATASATTATATAGGAAGAAATAATTTGAAAATTTGAGACTTAGTTTTAAAAAATAAAATTGAATGAACTATAAACTGAAAATATTTAAAATAATATTTAATGAACTAACGAACCCTTTAATATTTTTAATCTCTTTTTTTTAYTATCATTTTTGAAAAATTCATCAAAATTTGCACATTATTTTGRTGTTTTGAATTTTGATTAATTTATAGGTACACTATTTTTAATTTAAAATCAAGGTTTGGCAATATAATACACGATTCTTCTTTAGTTTTTCTTTCAGAAACCTAAAAATTACCTATTCAAAAAATTTCAAGTTTGAAATGCAAAAAAAATTATTTTAGTTATTTTGTTGCTATTATTAAAACATAATTGTAACAGCTTTTAATATTATGTAATTACTAATATCACATGGATTCATATTATAATGATTATTTTTATGATTTATGCAGTGTGTTGTTTGCAAAATKTAATTCCATCTACCGTTTTACTTGTGGTCATACAAAATAAGTAATATGACCTGACATAGTGACAGACCTTTTCCACCTAAAATCGTTTTTCGTATGCAGTGATTTATCATTAAATTTAAAATATTTAACCATTCATTACAATCGCCTTCCCATYCACGAGGTACATTCGACAGTGGACACCTTCTATGCAGCCAAACAACCTCCCCTGTTTTTTATTAACGGTTTCACTGGTTTCAATACTTGGAAGTAAAAACATTTAGGTACCTAACGGCAAACAATCAAATGTATGCCACATTCCCAAAAACCACATAATATGTAATATGTTTATACATATTATATTATTATTATACAGTAAAAAAAAATGACCGCCAAAGCCACTGACAGCTACTATTCTACGACTCTGCCAACACTACCGACCATATATTATAGTTGATCCCAAGTCATCTAGACCTAAACTCGAATAATAATGAGGTCTTGCAACAAAATAAAAAAAAGGTAAACATTTTTAGGTATGTCTAGACTCTGGATGCTTAAAGAAACCATTTATTCATTTATTTTGTTACAATGTTAATGTTGTACTCTTATCCGTCTTTCTGTATAGGTACTGTTATTATATTATATATAGGGACAAGGTACATAAATTCTAAGAATCTCAATTCCAGGAAWTCTCGTCGATTTGATGTGGGTTAAAATTACTTATAAATCTTTGAAAATATTTGTTTTTATAAAATTCATTGCATTGATTTTTAAATTTATTTGTTTTTCTTATTCGCACATCATTTTAATGATACAGTAGAACTTCGATTAACCGTCAATGTCGGAACCGGGGCTATGCCGGTTAATTGAATAGACGGTTAACGGAAATTTTGCAAAAAAAAACTAATATACATGGTACACACTTACACGTAGGCTGTTCGTCGGTCAATGATTAAATTACAATACATACATACATAAATTTATAGTTCGTTTATCACGTTTATCGATTATATTGGATATGTACATATTACAAACTATTTTTATACACTTGATAGTTACTGTGTTGGGCACCACGACGAGTTTATCACAATCGTCTAATCGCCTAAATATTTTTTTTTCGGCGATGACCGATGACGGATACCAGAGAGTGACGGTTAATCGAGTGACGGTTAATCGAGTGACGGTTAATCGAAGTTCTACGTTTATGCTTTTCTAAAACCGTATAATATTTTAATTTTTTCACCCTTGTATTTATTGGTGAAACCAATATCAACTTTTGATTTTCAAATGGTAGCATATAATTAAAATATCGTGAATTAATAAAACCATTTTTTTCATGAATTCACATGTTTTTATTACAAAATTTTAATTTTTAATTTTTCGTTGATTGGTTTGTGAGATACAGCTCCTCAAAGTATTGTTGGTTTTTGCTATTTTTCCAATAACTGTAAAGACCAAGAGCTAGAAATAAATTCGGTATCGCTGAATCTAAGGTAACAAAATAAATCCAATTAGTCCAATAATTAGTCGATAAATTAGTAAATGAAAGGATTCAAAAAGCAATAGTAATCTTTAATTAATTGGTATTTATTTTGTTACTTTGGATTCAGCGATAACGAATTTATCACTTGMTCCTGGTCTTTACAATTACTGGAAAATATTAAAAACCACCAATACTTTGAGGAGCTGTATCTCACAAACCAATCAACGAAAAATGTTAACTTGTAAATTCACGAAAAAAGTGGTTTTATTAATTCATGATATTTTAATTATATACTACCATTTGAAAACCAAAAGTTGCGATAATGATTTTACCAATAAGGTTAGGTAAATATTATGCATAAGGTTTAAAACAACATAAACCTAAAAGTTAATACTTTTTGAAATAATTAGTGTACCTTCTTAAACGGATCACTCTTTATATGTATAAAAATATTATAAAYAATAAATTTAAAAAAAATCAATATTGATGTTTATCTAGAACTTGTTCTGATATTATTACCAACTTAGTCATTTTTTTTCTTCGAGAGCAAACAACTAACAAACTAACAAAATGTCGAACTAAACTAAAAAAGTTGAAAAATTAAAATGTCAGTAAACAGTTCAAAACAAATCAAAATATTTTGAAAATCTTATCAAATATAGAAAATTGACACCCCAAAGTACCAACTAGATTCACTTTCTGATCGAACGAGGTACTGAAGTCAAAAATCGAAGTACTTTTACTGCYCCAAAACGTGATGACAGGCACACACAAAAAAAAAATAAGTACAAGAAAAAAAACACACATCATTGTAAAATCAATACATTCCTCGCTCCTCTCAGAATCTAAAACATTATTTTGAATATTTGGATTTGATAATATTTCTTCGTTTTATAAGTGTTTCAGATTTTAGAGGAATTTTCTGACTAAAATAACGCAATTTCAAAAAATCAGATAAATAGATAAACTCAATCGTCAATGCTTTAAAATATTCCCTCCCAGCTAAATTCCGTAAATGCTTACTATATACTGTAATTATTATTATACACATAATTTTACATTTCCAGTGCACAGACGACAGCGAACGTTACCTGCTAAATAAATCGAGACTGAATTATTCAGATCTGATTTATTTTTTTATTTTTATACAAAAAATTTTAGTTATACGTATCGTCGACGATCGGTTAAATGAAATGCAGACAGGTAGGTAGGCGTGTACGACTGGTTGACGTGTATAACATTGCTATTCAATATGGTACAAATCGTATTTCATATATTACATAGTATTATAATTTTTAGTGTTGTATAGTATAATATGTATATGGTGTGCACCAATTGTTATTTTAATTTGTCATATTTATCGAATTGTACAYCTACAGACGATGTGTTTGAATATATGACGTATTGCCTTGCCACCACTTGATCGGGTGAACCTTAAATTCGTTTCAGAGATCTATATACTACAAAAGAAAACGCGAACACAGAATTGGCAACGAATTTATTGTACGCTACAAACAGTTCTACTTTCTAGTAGTTTCGATTTTATCATCGTGAGGTTATTATAAAGTAATAATACAACTCCCTATTATTTAGTAAATAGTAAATACTATATTTTTATATCAAATAACTGACCTTTGGGAAATACATTTTTTTTTTTTACTTGTTTTAAATAGGTAAATCATGACAAAAGTGGACTTTATTAGTTTATAACTTGAATGATCGATTTTACTTTAATAATATAATGTGTATTATAATAGACATTTTTTTTTTATAAAAGTACGAAATATCCATCATATTATTGTGCCTGTCTAATAAATACCTCGATAAAATATTCTATAGTTTAATAATAATTTTCTAAAAACATAATGAACGGTAGATCATCATAATTTTCATATGATTAATTTAATAATAATCCTTACCTTTATTTTACTTAATTTATCGATGGTTTATTATATCATTGTGATCATTTTATTATATTATTATGTTTTCAATATATTTAAGTAAAACTTTTGGTTGATTAATTATTTATCAATTAAAAATAAATATTATATTGTAAACTATCATTAAATATTTTTAGTAGATTTATGTATAATAATTTATAATAAAATACGACAACTGGTACCTACATATTTTTAATTTTTATAAATTAAAGTTAAAAGGATTAGGTACTCATTATGCACCTAAATCAAATTTATAGAATACAAATAATTACATTTATTAGAAAAAAATTAGGCATTTCAAACGAATAGAACTTTTATATTATTGTTTATAAAATACTTTGCTTGTAGATGRCATTTATGAACCCATTTAATGGTATTTATTATTTACCAAGTATAATAAATTGTTTATGTAAACAAATACTGGAATCGTTTGTACAAATCTGTAAAATTGATTTTAATATTATATTATACAAATTAAATATTGATTCGATCGGACTAAACAGTTTGTTATTATATAACGATACGTACTTAAACTTTCATTTGTTAAATAAGTATATTAACATCAGTGGCGTACACAGGATTATTAAATCGGGGGAGGGGCTTGAAATTAAATAGAACCATTAATTGTTACAAGATAAGGTTTGAAAAATAAAGACTATGGTTATAGTAATTAAATAATAAACACACGATTTAAGATACTAGCTGGTTATATTAAATCATCGGTAAATATAAAAACAAATAATAATAAATAATATGGTCAATAGGAAGGGAGGCTTTAGTCCATTAGCCCCTCCACTGCGCACACCACTGAATAAAATATTATGATGTGACTTGTATTAGCCGTATCGCTCGTTATTGTACGTATTCTATAGTTGTATGTACAATACACAAAAAGGTTTACTGTACATTTTTATTTACTTGTATGGGGCGGTTTTGTTGTAGGAGTGCTGGATGATAGTACCTGTAGGGGCGGCGAATCAATAGAACCACCCCAACTGGATCCCGAGTGGCTGAGGGCGGAGACCAGCGGCGACCCCGTTATGCGGCTGTCCAACGGCAGCGAAGGGGCTACCGACTCCATGGTTGAAATGTTGCAGTTCAACGAGCACTTCCTGGACGAGGACGGTACCAAATTCATGTTGAATCCCGCCGAGCTGGAAGACCTTCTGGGACGCGATCAGTATGCTKCCGACGGTTCACCGATTGCCGTGTCAGTGCAACAACAGCAACAACACCTTCACGGTGGTCATCACCACCACGGTCATCACCATCAACAACCGAACGTCGTTGATCAGCCCAACACCAAGCCAACCGCTAATTTCGCCGACCTCAAGCCGCTGATGCCGTTCCACACGATCACGGAGCGCGTGAACATCAACGGCATACCTGGCCACCACTACCAATCTATCGCGTCCAACAACCGGGTGGCTGAAAACAACAACAACACGGCCACGGCCAACAACAACATGTACTACCAAAACGAATACCTGGTAACGTCGTCCACCAACGCGGGACTGACCAAGTTCAAGGAGGAGGACACGTTCGTGGACAACCAGTTCGACGAGTTTGAAATGCTGATGGGCAGCCCATCGTTCGGGCCGGACACGACGGTGACGGCCAGCGGCGACCACCCGGCCGTGGACGGTCCCGATGAGTGGCTTAGCGTAGGCGAAGACTGGGCATCATATGAACATCCGAACAGTTCGCCGCAAGACAACAAGGCTGGCATACTTGCCGACGTCACCATACACGACCTGGTGGCCAGTTCCCAATTTCCGGGCATGACCAACGGAGGTGGCGGTGGAGGCGGCGGCACTGGTAGTTATCACCAGCAGCCACCGTCTTCAATGCAGAAACCGCTGTACCAACAGCAGCAGCAGCCCCGCGAGTTGGTAACATCCAACGTGTCGCCACCAACACCCCGCCCGGCGGCCGCCGCGTTTATGCCACTGCTCCAGAGCCGACTGCAGAACGGACCGGCCAACAAAGCGCCGCTCCAAGACGCCGGCAGCTATCACATGGACTGCGCATCGTCGCCGTCATCGTCCACCCCGTCCTACCTGGCGCATAGCCCGACCAGTCATGTAGTCAGCACCACAGACCTGGGTGGCTACATGCCGTCCGCCGCAGCTGCTGCAGCGGCTGCTGCGGCCGCCGCTGCAGCCGCGTCCGTCCACAGTTCGCGGCCGTCACCCGAGTTYGCGCACACCACCACGCCCGGTCAGGGACCTCACATGACCACGAAAAAGTCACGGAACAGGAGCGGAAAGGCGAAGGGTAGCGGAGGAGGTGGTGGGGGTGGTGGTGGCGGCGGAGGGGTGACTGCCCGGAGCACCGTCGTTTACTGTTCGGACGGCAACGTGGCCAGGGAACGGACCGTCCACAACTGTCATATATGCAACCGCGGGTTCTTGAACAAAAGCAACATCAAGGTTCACCTGCGCACGCACACAGGCGAGAAACCGTTCCGGTGCGAGGTGTGTCAGAAAGCGTTCCGGCAGAAGGCCCATCTCATCAAGCACGCGCAGATCCACAAACGCAGCGGCCGGGACTGAGCCCGGTCATCGTGCTTCCACCCCAAGGGCACCCCGCGGGACGTTGGGTTGTAGCAGGTACCAACATAWACTACTATAGTACGTTATGGCGACGCGATTACTATGATATAAATAMAATAGTAATAACTTGTCCGTWTCACATTATTATAATCACACTTAAATGTCGCTTACGACTTTTATGCCGTTCGGCGCCCGACGCGTCTAATAAATGCATTTTGGCCAAAGATTCTAAACAATTCGAAAAATATTATTATTTTATTTGGATTTATTATTATTTTTATGATTTTAATCGCGACCGCAGCAAAGTACGTTCGTTGGTTTTCTGACATAAGCGTCCGCGAAAAGTCGTTTTATTTACCGTACTTCTATAATATAAAAAAYGTGTAGGTACGTCATTTAGGTTTTGAATCTCAAAGATGATGATATGTCGTGGTGAGTGAAACTCTGCTTTGATCTGATAGTGTTATCGTTTATGACGAACAAAACGTGGGCAACGATTTTAGTTTTTAAAAAAAGTACAAAATGTAATTTGTTCATGAATTATTGTATATTATAATTCGTCTTTATTATTATTTTTATTCGTATCATCATTATTTTTACTTGTATTTGATATTATTATTTTTAATTATTATTAATACGAATTATGATTATTATTACTATTTTTGATTGTTGAAAGTAGTTTGCGAGCGTGTCTCGCGTTATTGCACGTTCACGTGATTAATTTATATTTATTATTGTTTTGTTTGTTTGTTATTTATTCGGTGTTCTCCGGCGCTATCACACAACACTACAATTGTTTTGGAAAAACTTTATATTAAACTCAAACATGGTTTTTTCGTTCTTTACTAATTTATTTTTCGTGTCGTCCCCGGAGAACACCTTTATATATATTATATATTATGTAATGTAATAAGGTAATGATGTTAAATTTAGCGTCGAGTAGTCTCTTATATATATATATATATATTCACTTGCAATTTGTTGTTTTACGAATCACTTTACTACTTGTGCTGTTGTACATATGTAAGTTATTATATTATTATTTATCGCCGGGTGTAGTTAAAAATCGAAATTGGAGTCGTATGAAATTGTTACGATTTCCATGTTTGTGTTTTGTATGTGTATTTCTTGTGTATGATATATACGTTCCGATTTTTAAACGACCCCATTTTTGTTTTGTACTTATTTATTTGTATTTAAWTTATTTAGTTTCTTTTTGTATTTGTCAATTTTTTTTTTGTAACACCCGTATATACCTATATATATATATTACATATAGAGTGTTTATAATATCTCAATAGACGTTAATTAGTAATTGCTGTAATGGTTATAAGGTTAAAATTGAATATTTATCGTTTTATCTTTTTATTGTTAGACCTACCGGTACACATAATTTGTTTTTATACAATAAATAAACTCTAAGGACTAATCGTCAACAGTATCATAAAATAACAAAATATTATAGTTTTTAATGATTGATCATTTTTTGGAAAGGTGGACCTGTCTTCCGATTCTTATAGCTATGTCTGTGCGTGTTATTAAAAAATACAGAAATCCGTTGTAATGTAATATATATATATATATATTTTTTTTTTGAAAATTATCTTTTTCCTTTATTCTACAGTACACGAACGTAAATAAGACGCGTGGCATTGTAAATTGGTTCCAAATCCTGATGGTAAGCGTGGTCTGCAAAGTTGACTTTTATCGACAGAAGAATAAAACTATATACATAACAAAATATTTKATGAAGTCTCCCGTGGTAATATATTATAGTAGATAACAGTTGAACACACTCCAAATTGTGTATATATTTAAATGATATTTTGTCAAAAATACCCGACTAAACGCGCTAAATATTGCGAAGTCGATTATTGTGGATTAATATAAAAAATATCTTTTTAATTTAATTAAGTATTTGCAACATTACATATTTTTTAGAAAATATTGTGTGAATAACAAGTACATATATTATTGGGACCACACTTACTATATTATTTATCGTAATGTGTCATTAACTGCAGCATATATCAGAAAACTTTTCAAAAAATGTAGACATATACAATATTTTAAGATTATTAATTAATGAGATGCGTTAGTCTAAAATCTAGGCTATAGATAAACGGAATACAGGAGTACAGCTTCATTCAAACTTTGCGGAATCCGGAATCCCGATAATTTAATTTTATAAGAATTTACTAAACTCGATAAAAATCGACCAAGTATGTATGAAACATTATATATATATATATATATATTTATACAATATTCCATATTATATATTAAAATTAATATAATATTATACATACTCGTATTTGTAACTATATATTGTGTCTATAGGTACAGGTACACGTGAGAGTAAAAATATAGCGTCCCCACGTAAATGAAGATAAAATAATAATAATTATTTATTATTCATTTGATGACCTCGATTCGGTCGGCTGCACGCGTTCCTTCGATCCGTGCCGAATCCACGATCTAAGCCAGCAAGGGTATTTTTTGACAGTTTATATATTATATTTCAATACTGTYTCGTATATAAAATACCATAGAGTTGTGGAGACCAAGTTTGCGGGGTCCTTGGTTGTAAATTCCACGGTAGGTATACAATTTAATCAACAGCGAAATTATGAGACGATTTACTGGGCGGCGGTTATTACCGGTGATATAGATGTGTGTATGGCTAATTGGCTACTGTCTGGCAAAGAACAAAATGCTATGTCTAAATCTGACATAAAGTAAAAAATTCATGAAACGACCGCGATTTCTTGCCACTCATTATTATAGCATGAAAACAAAAGTATTATGTTATTATCATATTATTTCCTTTTTACCGTTCTCCAAAAGCTTCAAGAAGAGACTGGCAGGTAAGGTAAATATTCAAGTCTTTCGGATATTAGAATATAGTCGTGAATAATATATTTTCACCTAGGGATCAATATAGCATAGGTATTTAGTATTTACGAATATTTCCAAAAGACAATCGACCCAAAAAATATTATTATGCCCAACTGACCGAGTACATATAAAGGTCATTGATTTGAAAGGCTTAAGACCGAATAAGTTGCGAACTATTAAAATCTCGTTTTCTGAATCATCGTGTGTTCTATAATTGTGGGTACTAATTTTTAGATAAAAAATKTTGGCGGTCATCACGACTGCAGTAATATAATAACTAATAAGTGGCCATGCGTGCTATTCACGCTGCGCAATTTAATATCAATGTGTAGGCACAATGTGCAACAAACGATATGCGGATATTGTGGTGGTGGTCGTCGTCATCGGCAACAAAAACGAAAGAAAGAAAGAAACCACTTTTACCTCGTCCGCGCTCCGCAGTAACCACGCATATATCGTATATATAGTAACACGTTGACCCACTAAACACGCATCTCGTCACGGCTACGCACAACGTGCGGTTGTCTTCGTTCCGACTACACCAAATGAGCCGGATATAAGAACTGCAAGTGTGTACATGGACGTATACCATAGGTATTTAATATATATATAAGCATAATTCCACTGGGGAGAATGCGTGGAAGTGTATGTGTGATGTGTAGCAAGTTCCTAGTCCCTAGTCTCTGCAAAATTGCTATGACTTAGATGAGGGAGGAGAATACTCGAGTCAAAATATTCGCAAATCCATCAGATGTATTATTACAATAATATAATATACGTAAATCGTTATTAGACATTACACACTACTCACACGAGTCTTCTACGACTGAGAAAAAAATTCCAAAAGTCGTCTTCCAAAATCATTTTGTCTCTATTTGCATATTATGTAGTACCATATATACGCATGTCTGTACAATAGGATGTCGTATCCCATCCTATAATATGAATAAGCGTATGGCGCGTATACACTGTAAGAATCGGGTCGCTTTCCCTCAACTATAACACGTTTTTTTACAATCACACGTTGAATAAAATAATCTTATAATATTATAATAAAACGCACCATYGCCCGCCAGCTAGTTTTTTGTTAAAAAATACTCAAAGCGTATACCTATCACCCTATTCCAGTATGACAGCATATCATCTCACTTCCCGCCAACAATATTATATATCATGTACCTATAATAATATTATTATAAAGTAAACGAGCCAATATATTATTATTAAAATAGTTGTACGTACGTATATATTGCGTAAATTATTATTATAAGATCAAGAAAATACAAAATATGGTATTGGTATACCACCTATATCGGCTAATATGGCTATAAGTAGATACGTCGTCGATTTTAAAACATATCAACTACCTATCGAGTAGCTATATAGTACTGCAGGGTATAGGCTATACAAATAGTATAAGAGAATTATTCAGCGAGTTTTTATCGAATTGGGTTCACGGTTGGTATTAGATTTTAGCAGCGGATTTTTCAATATTTTTAGATAAACTGATAATATACTACTTTTACAAAGTGATTAACAAAGCATGCTCACTCTCATTTTTTAAATTTAACTTCAAATTCTGATTTTTTTAAATTTTTAACTTATAGATTTWATATTATATCGTTAAAGAGTGTGGTGAAATGTATTATATTAATGTTACGATTATTATTCTCATAATACTTTAAGTAGAATAACTTAAAAACTATATAGACGTAATGATTTCGATTTAAATGCATCAATACTTTAAAAAAAAACAATTGTTTCACTAATTACGCAGTAAAGTAGGACCTTATTTAGAAAAACAAAGTTTATTCTACCACACTACTAAATATTATGAAATAGAATTTTTTTAAATAGGGTCTTGAGTGTATATCTATTTCAAAATTCTAAAAACCAATTAGTCTTAATAAGTATATTTTTTAAGCATAAAAAGGTGATATATATATATATATATATCGTAAACCATGGGTTATTCTGTTATGGGCTAGGTACCTGTATATGTAATTGTAGTTCCTATATAATAAAGGCTCTCARTGGGTGTATTCATAGCCAATACCATTCTACATTTCTTCAACAATACAATAATCAAAATAATATGCGAGTAAATTTGTAAAATCACAAGTATAAAAACTTACAAAACCATATAAACTAGGGGTGGCCAACCTGTGAATGCCGTGCCATAGTTGTATACAGCTCGCGTCTTATTAGAAAAAAAACTCTATTTACTTATTATCGATAAAATACTATAAAATTATAAAAATTATAAAATATATTTTTTTAACATTTTTGCTCTCGATATAATTGTATTTATCCGTGTGGCTCGTGGAGGTATTCATGTTGGCCACCCCTATATTATACTATAAAGTAGGTGAGTAACTACTGTAGAGCTCGACCTAAAATTTTTGCAGAATTCAAATTACTTAATAGGTAGTTAGATAATATAAATGTATTAGATATGTTTATTCCTCGTATAACTCTGCATTGGCGGATCGAGGTAATTTAATATTAAAGTGATAATACAACATATTTAATATTACGACTAAATTAGTATAACTATTTTCCACTTCTCCACAACATAATTAAATTTTAAAATAAAAATTATCTATAGGCACTAAAAAATTTGCAAATTTTTTGYTAATTTAAAAATGCTCATAATTTGCTTTAAAATTAAAA